TGGATGGCTGGGTATACAGTGAGGGAAGCCTTCAACATGCTCTCATCTCTGTCTCTAGTTTTTGCTCGTGGTTTATGCCCACCTCGCTTAGCTCATATGCATTCCTTAGGGCTTCAGAAAAGCATATGAGACTGAAAAGACAAATTCTTAGCTTTTGAGATAGGATAGACATCCCCATTTTATTGCCTGTGTAAATTTGCATTATTATTCTATAAATCACTCAAGACAACGGTGATCAACAAGTAAAACTATCTTCAAAGTTTTGGGCTATTAAATAACAAGTCATGTCAGGCGCAATGCCTCAACTCTAGAGGAGTTTCAACAGACAGCAGTGCCAGGGGGCAGAGCCAGGGGAGTGTGTGGAGCTGGAGAGCCCAGAGCCATTTTGCGGGACAAATGTCTACAGATCATACCTCTGCTTGGCTTTGGGGAGCAGCCTCTTAACTGAATGCCTCTGTTCTGGCTTCCTATTGCCTAGGGTATTGCCTACAACAGCAAGCCCAGTCAATGGCTTCCAGGAGTTTCTGTCCATAAGGCCTCTAGCCAAAGAGGCAAATCACATAAAACAGCAGAGATGTCCATCCCACATCCCCTATGGTGCCCTTTACCCTGACTTACGTTTCTCTACAATACTTGTCCCTGATATGGCATATATTTAGTTGTTTACTTCTCTCCCTTTGTCCAAGTTAAGTGATAAACCTGGTGCCTGCATATGCTCACACTAGTAGGTGCCCTGGGAAGATTTTTAATCAATGCATTCAAATATACTTTAGACAACTTTTTTGTTGTTTTTCAAGACAGGGGTTCTCTGTGTATCTTTGAAGCTTACCCTGGCACTCACTTTGTAGACCAGGCTGGCCTCGAATTCACAGGGTGCCTCCCGAGTGCTGGGATTAAAGGTGTGCACCACCAATGCCTGGCTACAGGCAAATTTTTCTTTCAATAATTCAACTACCTTCCCAGAGGCCTAAGGAGAATGTTTTTATGAATGAAAATCAAGAAAAGAGAAAGTTCAACGATCTGTACAGAAGGAGGTATGTTCTTTTGTGTTTGGGTAAAAAGTTCTGTAAATATTTTAGGTTGATTTAGTTTATGTCATCATTTAGATCCAGCATTTCTCTGTTTAGTTTTTGTCTGAATGACCTGGAGGGCGGGGTATTGAGGTGACCCACTATTACCATGTGAGGGTCAATATGCGATTTAAGCTATAGTAGTATTTCTTTTATAACTTGGGTGCCCTTGTGTTTGGGGCATAAATGTTTAGAATTGCAATATTCTCTTGGTGAACTTTTCCTTTGGTGAGAATATAGTGTCCTTTTCTATCTCTTTAGATTAGTTTTGGTTTGAAGTCTATTTTGTCAGATATTTAAATGACTAAACCGGGGCCTGGGCTGCAGCTCAGTGGTAGAGCTCTTGCCTAGCATACATGAGGCCCTGGGTTCAACATCTAGCATAGCAAACAAATAAAACCGGCTTGATTTGTGGTCTGTTTGCTTAGAGTATCTTTTCTAAACCATTTATCCTGAGGTGACCTCTGCCCTTGACATTGAGGTGTGCTTCTTGAATGCAGCAGGAGGATGGATCGTGTTTTCAAATCTGATCTGTTAGTCTTTGTTCTTTTATTGAGGAGTTGAGGGTTATCAATGAGCAGTGGCTGTTGATTCCCCATTATTTGGTTATGTCATTGTGGGTTTTTTTCTCCTCTCTCCTCTTTTGATTTGCTGGTCTGAGATTATTTATTCCTTCTGTTTTTGTGGGTGTAAAGTTAACCTCTTCAGGTTGAAGTACTCTTTCTAGCACCTTCTGTAGAGCTGAATTTGCAGACAGTGCTTAAATTTGGTTTTGTTTTGTTTTGTTTTTTTGTTTTTTGTTTTTTGTTTTTTATGAGACAGGGTTTCTCTGTATTGTTTTGGAGGCTGTCGGTCCAGCCTGGCCTCGAACTCACAGAGATCCGCCTGCCTCTTCCTCCCGAGTGCTGGGATTAAAGGCATGCACCACCACCGCCCTGTTTAAATTTGTTTTAATGTGTAATATCTTTCTTTCTCCATGTACTGTGATTGCAAATGTTTCTAGGTACAGTAGTCTAAGCCAGCATCTGTGGTCTCCTGCAGTTTGTAGAACATCTGTCCAGGCCCCTGACATTTAGAATTGCCGCACAGAAGTCATGTGTTCCTCTTTGCCTTTGTATGGTATTTTTCTCCTTGAAGTTCCTAATATTCTTGCTTTGTTCTGTACATTTAGTGCTTTGATCATTACATGTTGTGGGGAGTTTTGTTGTTGTGTTGTTGTTGTTCAGTCTATTTGGTGTTCTCCATGCTTCTTTTCCTTGTTAGGTGCCTCCTTCCTTTTTTTTTTTTTTTTTTTTTTTTTTTGGTTTTTCGAGACAGGATTTGTCTGTGGCTTTGGAGGCTGTCCTGGAACTCGCTCTGTAGACCAGGCTGGCCTCGAACTCACAGAGATCCGCCTGCCTCTGCCTCCCAAGTGCTGGGATTAAAGGTGTGCGCCACCAACGCCCGGCAGGTGCCTCCTTCTTTAGGTTAGGAAAATTATTTTCTATGACTCTGATACCCTCTTCTCAGCACCTCATGGAATTTTCTCCAAAATTGGCCACATACTGGAACACAAAGCAAGTGTCAGCAAATACAAGAAAACTGAAACAACACTGTATCTTACATATATATTAAAGCTGGACATCAACAGCAGAAACAACAGGAACCTTAGAAACTCATGAAAATTAAACAATGAACTAGTGAATGAAAAATAGGTCAAGAAAGAAATAAAATTGAGTGGTGATGGTACAAGACTTTAATCCCAACATTCAGGAGGCAGAAGCAGGCAAAACTCTTGAGTTAGAGGTCAGCCTGATCTACAGAGCAAGTTCCAGGACAGCCAGAGTTACACAAAGAAACCTTGTCTCAAAAAACAAAAAAAGAAAACAAGAAACTTAAAACTTTTTTATATTTGCATGAAAGAAAACCAAATACCCAAACTTAACGAAGACAATGAAGGTAATTCTAACAGGCAAGTTCATATTACACTAAGTGCCCACATAAAAAATTGTAGACATCTCGTATTAGTAACTTAATGGTACACCTGAAGTCTATAGAACAAAAAGACAAAATAATGCCCAAAAAGAGTGATGGCAAGAAACAATCAAACTCAGGGCTGAAATCAATAGAATAGAAACAACAACAAAATACAAAGAATCAATGAAACAAGAGTTGCTTCTTTGAGAAAATCAGTAAGATTGACACCCTTATCCAAATTACCTAAAAAGCAGAGAGAAAATTTCCGAATTAACAAAATAGGAATGAAAAGAGGGGCATGTCAATAGACACTGAGGAAATCCAGAGAATCATAAAAACATATTTTAAAAATCTATACTATACTTATTAGAAAATATAAACAAAATGGATACTTTTCTTGATATATACCACATACCAAAATAAATCAGATCAGATAAGCAATTTAAACAGAGCTATAATTCCTAGTGAAATAGAAGCAGTAAGTCTCCCAACCAAACCAAACCAAAACAAACAAAAAAACAAAACAAAACAGGAACCAGGTGGTTTTAATGCAAAAATTTACCAGACTTTCAAAGAAGAATTAATGCAAATACTCCTCAAGTTATTCCACAAAGTAGAAGCAGAAGGAACTTTGCTCATTTGTTTTATGAGGCCTTAGTTACCCTGATACTCAAACCACATAATTACTCAACAAAGAAAGAGAATTGTAGATCAATGTCTCCAATGAATCTAGACAAAAAAAATTCCCAATAAAATACTTGCAAACTGAATCCAAAATCACATCAAAAAGATCATTCACCCAAAGATGCAGGGATGGTTCAACATATGTAAATTGATAAATGTAATCATCCTATAAGTAAACTGAAAGACAAAAGCTACATGATCATCTCATTAGATGTTGAAAAGGGCTTGGCAAAATCCAAAACCCCGAGTTTGTGATTTTAGGGACTTTGGTCTTGTATCTACATCTACACTTGTTTCTTGTGCTTTTCCTTTGACTCTTTTTCTGTTTGTTGTTTGTTTTGTGTTATTCAGGATTGTTTGCTTTTGTCTTATTTTACATGCCTGTTTTCTAATGAGAAAGAGCAAAAAAGAATATGGATTTGGATGGGTCGGGAGGTGGGAAAGAGCTGGAAGAGGTTGGTGGAGGGGAAACATAATCAATATATATCCTATGAAAAATATTTTCAATAAAATAAAATAGAGCCTGGGGGTGGGGAAATCAAGAAAAGAAGTGTTGGGCAGTGGTGGCGCACACCTTTAATCCCAACACTCAGGAGGCAGAGGCAGGAGGATCTCTGTGAGTTCGAGGCCAGCCTGGTCTACAAGAGCGAGTTCCAGGACAAGAGATATGTAGGGAGATCCTGGAGAGAGAGAGACAGAGACAGAGACAGAGACAGAGAAAGAAAGGTAAGGAAACAAGTCCCCCATTTGGCTCAAACTAAGGAGAACTTTTAGAGACAGAGCAGAGAACACGCCTCCAAGATGGCAGAATGATGAAGCCAGAGGGTAGACAGCCCCAGAAAGGAACCCCTAAGAATACTAGAAAGGCTGAGGGAGATTCCAGACTCTCTACAGCTGTAGGACAGAGCCCTCCTATTGTTGCCTGGTTCTTAAGAGGCAAGGAAGCCCATGTGATGCAGGACTCACCTAACCCCGTCTCCTGCTTCAGTCTCTGGGCTGTGCCATCCTGAAACCCTGCCTCTCCTCCAGGCCCCCCTGCTCTCACGGCTAACCCTCGTGGATGGCACTGCTGGACTGACACCCTCAGGATTCAGCCATGTAAATCTGCAGTCCTATGGTGGGAGACGCTTTGAACATATATGTCTATACATACATACTTATTTTATACATGGATATTTCATTGCCCCTAACTTCTTTTCCAATCAGACTGACAACTTAAAAACTGTCCTCAGCTCCTCTCTCCTGGCTTTACTTACCCACAAATACTAGTTTAGCTGGCATCTGACATACCTATGAGGAAAAGAAATGCTACCACATCCAAAGGGTGTAAAGGTTCCCAGGACAACAGGATCCGGACAGTCGCTGAATATGTTGGTGTACAGCCCACCCCAAGGAAGGTCAGAGTAACTCTGGCAGACAGCTAAGCGGCCGGAAGGATAGGTGAAATACAGGTTAAGGAACTGACATTGATCGAACAACAAGAATGTTAACAGTTCTTCAATACAAAGATGTTAATTCTTTTTCACATACGTTCTATTTTTATCTTATTTATTAATATTCTGAGACAAGGTTTTTTTCCTTTTTTTTTTTTTTTGGTTTTTTCAAGACAGGGTTTTTCTGTGTAGCTTTGGAGCCTGTCCTGGAACTAGTTCTTGTAGACCAGGTTGGTCTCAAACTCACAGAGATCCGCCTGCCTCTGCCTCCCAACTGTCGGGACTAAAGGCGTGCACCATCACTGCCCGGTGAGACAAGATTTTTTGTTGTTCTTTTGTTTGGGGCTTCGGGGAGTTGTTTTCCAGACAGGGTTTCTCTGTGTAGTAGCCCTGGCTGTCCTGGAAGTCTGAACTCTGAGCTTTGTAGACCAGGCTGGCACAAACTCACAGAGACCTGACCGCCTCTGCCTCCGGAGTGCTGAGATTAAAGGAAGGCGCGTGCCAACAAACAAGCTTTTGGCTTCCAGATACAGGTTCTCCATTCTCCCAATGGGGTCACATTCCTACACTCTTACTTAGCTCACATTCTTAACCAACCTGTGAGTTATAACAGGGGGTCTGATCAGAGTGGTCCTGGGTAATGGCGGTGTCTCTGAACCCCAAAGTGGCTAGGTACAACCTAGTGCTCCTGTTCCAGCAAGGAGCCCTGAGGGAAGGTCTCTCCATGGGCATCCTCAGACAGATCCAGGCCGAGTGGGGCTGAGGACTAACAACAGATCTGTCAATCATTTTTACAAAACTGGTCTGTAACTCACCTCTACAAGATGGGCTATGATGGAATCTTGAAGGCTTTTTTTTTTAAGGTTTATAGGAATTGATTCCCAAAATCCCTCTTTTCTTGAGGCCAAGTTCTCTAGCTGCTAAATCCCGCATGGTCCCCATTCCTCAGTCAGAAAATGAAGCAAAGGGAATTAATTTTCTCGGAACCACATGACCCCTTGGGTGCTTAACAAAAATATCAGAGGTTCTCTAAACAAGAAGGAAGGTTTGGAAATTGGGGGCTTGCTTCCACTGTGTTTGGGGGCTCCTTTTCCTGACCGAGTGTGACAGGATGTGAATGCTTGGGGGTAAGGAATTAAGGAAACACAGGCCTCTCTTCCCCCAGTGTTTCCTGTACTGACTTTTCTGCTGGGTGGAAACGCCCAGCTGTCAGCACCCACCGTCAAGTCCTCCTTCACCCTTCCCTGGGGGAGTCTCGAGAGGATATTAAGTCAGAGACGAGCCATCTACCAGGGCATAATGGAACTTCTTCATCTCTGGGTTGGCCTCTCCCATGCCTGGCATCTGAGGCTTCCCCACTAGCAGCTCCATCCAGAAAGCCTGGGGTTCTTGGGGGGACTCTGCCATCTCCTCCTCTTCTCCCGGGTCATTGTAGTGATGCATGATCAGCTGTTTGTTGAATCCATCTCTTTTTTGTTTAGCTTCTTCCAATTTTCTGTGCAAAAGAAAGGAATTCGAGACATGGCTGTTTTCTTGGTCTTGTACGACTAATGACTCAGAGACCTCTGTTGCTTCTTCTTGAGCATCTAACATAATCAGTTGCCTTTGAATCAGAACTGGATTTTGAAGCAGATTCAACCCAGCCCTAAGCCAAGCCTTCACTGAGTGCTTTCTATTTTTAAACAGTTACTAAGAATCTCCTGTGGGTGAGCCTAGTGCCAGAGGCTGTAAGAAAAGGAACAACAACCGAACAGAAGGAGCTACAACTCAAGAATTAAGCGTGAGAACTAATTCTTCTAGGTAACTCCGAACACTTGAAGCAAAATACTAACACCCTCTAAGCCTTATATTCTTGATCTGTAAAATAGGGCTAAAATGATCTCACAGAGGGGCTGGAGAGATGGCTCAGCGGTTAAGAGCACTGGATGCTCTTCCAGAGGACCCAGGTTCAATACCCAGCACCCACATGACAGCTCACAACTGTCTGTAATTCCATTTCCAGGGGCTCCAATACCTTCACACAGACAGACATGCAGGTTAAACACCAATGCGCATGAACTAAAAATAAATAGAAAAAATTGCACGGAAATGTACAGATTCTCTGTTTAATGAACACACTCACTCACTCACTCACACACACACACACACACTGAGCCCAGTGTTTAGCTTGTACTAACACTGCTTGTATTCATTACAGTCCTGTAGGCAATACAAATGTGTTATTGATCACGTGACGTTAAAGGAAGAGGGAGGTGAATAGAAAACCAGCTAGTTTCTAGCTTTCCAGCTAAGACAGGAAGGCAGGCTCTTAGAACATTCAGTCATGCACAAGTATAAGCTAGTCAAATTCTAACCGGCAAAACCAGCATTCCTGTAAAAAAGGTACTTACTATCACCATTCTAAAGACAGTGCCCACATTACACAGCTACATGCAAAGCCAGAGTTCAAGGACACACATCCAAAATCCACCAAATCCGCCAATGAAGACAAGCCTTCTTCGCATCCACCCAGCTTTTTTAATTGTGCTAAAAGGAAGCGAGCTCTCACATGTAAATCCCTTTCATTACTGGGAAAAGAATTCTCCCTCCTTACCAAAGGGGCCAAAACTAACATACAAAAGCTCCTATGCAAAAATCTACAAGGTGGGAACTTTCATATCTACAGCCCTGCTAGTCAGAGGCCCTCGGTTAGCTTTCCAAAGCACTGCTTTCTCCTGTAACGCCCTTGACAGGTGCATAGACAGTGTGAGCGAGGATGACCTTTCTGTCACGTTTCTCACGGCATTGACAGTGATCTCTGGTTTGAGGGACAGAGCTTCTACCAGCAGGTGAAACTTACCTCTAAGTTCCCATAAAATCAGCCTAGGAATCTGCTAACAAGCCAAAGCCAGCAAAAGGTGGTGGAAGGTCACTGAATGCTAGAACAGAAGTGTGCATTGAGAATGTGTGCCCACCTTACAGATGAGAGAAGCAAGGCACAGCAAAGAGAACTGCTGAACAATGTTCATGGGGCTGGGGAGCCGGCCCCATCGGTAAGGGACTGGAGAGCCCCATTGGTAAAGGGTGGGGAGCCGGCCCCATCGGTAAGGGACTGGAGAGCCCCATTGGTAAAGGGTGGGGAGCCGGCCCCATCGGTAAGCTGCTTGTCTTGCAAGCACAAGGACCTGACTCGGCTCTCCAGCGCCTGTTTTTAAAAAGCCAGGTGCAGCAGTGCACACTCGTAACCGTAGCACTGTGGAGGCAGATGCTTGAGGCTGGCTGGCCAGCTAGCAAAGCTTATTTGACAAGCTCTAGGCAAGAGAAAAATACTGTCACAAAAAAAAAAAAATGAGGTGGACAGTTCCTGAGGTTGTTGTCTTACGGCCATATGCACAAACGCCCTCCACACTTATAAAGACCTACACATAATAGTTTTGTGTGGTTTATATCTACACAAGTATGTGAATGTCTACACACATGCGTGTGCAGATGTGAGAGGCCAGAGGCTGCCATAATGTGTCTTCTTCAATCGTTCTCCTGCTCACGTATCATTACCATTGACAAGGAAGACATAAAGCTGTGATCTTACTACCTTACACCACATACATAAACATTTCAGTTAAATGGGGCGGGAGGAAGACGGCTGAGATGATGGTCAAGTCAGTGAAGTGCTTGCTGTGCAGGGATGAAGACACTTGTTCAGCCCCTGGCACCCACCCAAAAGCTGGGCATGTTGGAGCACGCCTGTAGCTCTGACACTGGGGAGGCAGGGACAGAAGAAGCCCTGGGGCTTGCTGGCCACCCAGTCTAGAGGAACTGGTAAGCAGCAGGTTCAGTAAGAGACCTTGCCTCCAAAAGAAGGTAGAGGGCCCAGCCCTTTAATTCCAGCACTCTGGAGGCAGAAACAGGCAGATATCCATGAGTTCAAAGACAGTCTTGTCTACAAAGAGAGCTCTAGGTTGGTCAAGGCCACACAGTGAGACCCTTTCTCAAAAATAATAAGGGGATGGACGGATGACTCAGAGGTTAAGAGCACTGGCTGCTCTTCTGAGGTCCTGAGTTCAATTCCCAGCAACTCCATGGTGGCTCACAACCATCTGTAATGAGATCTGGTGCCCTCTTCTGGAAGGTAGGCATACATGCAGTCAGGACACTGCATTAATAAATAAATAAATCTTTAGATGACAATAATAATAATAAACCAAGGTGGAGAACAGCTTAGAAGGGCAGTCAGAATTGACCTCTGACCTTCTCATCACCAGCACACAAACTCACACACATGCACATATGAGAATGTCCATTTATTATAATAAAGACTTATCTTGGTAGAAAGATTATGTTTTTAATTTCTGTCTTATACTTTCAATTTAAAACAAAACTAAACTAAGCGCTGAGCATGCGTTCATTTGCAATCTACCCGCAGTGTCACTCATAACAGCAACCAGGCAAGCAACAGACACAAAAACAGTAGGAGCTCCGGGTTTTCCGTTCAGCTCTGCCTGTCTGTAGCATAAGGCTGTGAGCAGCTTGCCACACATGGTAGGGTGTGCTAACTTCCTCGTCATTAAGAGAGAAGATTATAAATCTCTCATGGGGCTTCAGGGAGTAGCATGGGTGGCATGTGCCAAGCTTCAGGCCCGCAATCTAGCACAAAGTAACTGTGTATCGTGCTTACCATTATCTCAGCCTCCTAAAGTTTAGGTCTGTCCTCTATTGATTGTTAATGTCCTGAAATGTTCAGGTTCCTGTGGTAGATGACAAGTTCCTTTAAAGTTGTTTTTACATTTTAAAAACAAAACTATAAAATAATATCCTAGCTGCCTTTTTATTTCCTTGGCATTCTCTTTTCCTCCTTCTATCTTCTCCACATTTTGGAACATGATCCCGTTAGTCACCTGAAAGAGCTCATCATGAATTTTCCACACTTGACCAGGAAGTAAAGAGAAGTAGAAAGCAGAGGGGAGAGGAGGAGAGGAGGGAAGAGGGGAGGAGAGGGGAGGAGGGAAGAGGGGAGGAGAGGGGAGGAGAGGAAAGGAGACCAGAGGGGAGGGGAAGGGGGGAAGGAGATCAGAGGGGAGGGAAGGGGTGAGGCGGAGAGGGGATAGGAAAGGCAGTAGAAGGGAGAGTGTTTAATGCATCTTTTTCACATTATAGACATAATGGCAGTGAGATGCGGTGACCAGGTGACCTGTGCCAGCGCCGCAGGCTCTGCCCCTATTCCCGCTGACCATGTCATATCACTCATACAAGGACCTTAGGTAAGGGTTGAAGGAGGTTCCCTACATTTGAACTATGGTGATCTGCAGTCTCTTCACGGCTGTACTGAGGTCTGCCTTCAATTTCTGAATTTCCCATTTTGAGCAAGGAATCCAACCTTGAAAAAGACAACACACATATCAAACACAAAGGAGGGAGTTCAAAACATACACCCCACCAGGACTGGCTAGGTAACCCATGCCACAAGTCTACCAGAGCCTATCTGGAAAAGAAGACACACCCAACTTGTGTTAAATTATGTGTAATTGTCCCCTTAAAATGAATGATCTCTTCTCAAGGGGATGCATACTGAAGTGGGGTGAAATCTTTAACACAAAGTGGCTCGATCCCTACAGTGTCATCTGAGTCTTCCCCCAAATCTCTATACCCCAGACAGAACCACTATAGACCAGAGTCTTCATCGTCTGTGCCCAACACGGGACAGAGTTCTATCTGCCGAAGGATCTTTGGATCAGTTGTCATCAGGTGGATTTTAGGTCTAACGAACTTGGGGGATAAACTCAACACATGTGAAATGAGGGACTTGAGTGAGATGGTGTCTAGCTCCTCTCGGTTCTTGTAAGAGTTCTGTCCCTGTGGTGAAAAACTAGAAAGGCCCATGGGCAGTTTGAGGGCGGTGGGTGTCAGAAGGGAATCTGCCGTTTCCTCATTTCATCCCCCCCCCAGCCTACTCCACTCTGTCAGCCATTGAACTGCATATGGAAGAAAACTGGGAAAGATAAGTGAATGACAGGGAGAAAGGGGACATGGCTCCTCCCGCGTGAGCACCATTATCACCAAATGGTTGCCCGGTGCAAGGTGAAGATACGCATGTCTCCAGAATGACATTAGTGCTCCATCTCCAGGCCCTCGCCTGCACTGTCTGCTCCTTATTTCACCAGTAGCTCTATCTGATGCTGGCAGGGGCTGTGTGACTCCTTGGTTTTCTCCACCCCCTTGTCCCATTGTAGCCTAGGTCGGGAGCAAACATGGCCCTGTCTCACGGGACTATGGAACTTCCTCCCTTCCACTGAATGTGGCTCAAGGCACAGTGGCAGCTGAGGATTCCTCACCATCTCTGAGCCAATAAGCCAGGTTGATTGAGCAATTGTATTACCCTGCTTCCCGACTACCGTGATTGGGTAGCCTGACTCAGAGCTCATCAGGCAGTACATGGGATTGACATGTGACACTGAGAGAAAAGAACCCTCCTTCCCAAGCAAGGAACATGTAACTTTAAGGGTGGCAGGGACCATGTTCCTCATCATTTGGTGGGAGCTTGACTATGGACTCACAGAGCCAAATTCAGTGCTGAGTCCTGCACCTGCCCTGGTCTCTGCTCCTACAGTTCTTCCTTTGCTTCTTGTAAATGACTCCGGACACGAACAAAGAATTATTGCTTAAGCTACTGTGAGTTGAACTGCCTTTTATGAGCAAGAGTCCAACCCCAACCACAATCACCTTCAGGCTTATCGTCACAGGATCATAAGAACTAGCCTTGTCTTAGGGAGGGAGATTGGATGGGCTGCATGCTGGTTTCCGTGGGACTGGATAATGTCCTTGCTGCTTCTATTCCTCAAACCTGGAAGTAAGTTCGGGGACCAAGGCCTGGCTCCTTCTCACAGATGACATAGTGAGCTGGCCATTGACTTGTCATTTGGTTGCACATGAAACACTTGAGACACTTCCTGTCACTGGGGCACTTTATTGAATTCCTGGATATTTACATGTTGGAGTTCTGGGGTTCTTACGTTTTTTTCCTACATGAGGTTGGTCCTAGGTACTGCGCTGGTGTGCACCTATTTCCTCAATACCTGGCCCACCCCCAAGAGCAGTGTCAGTCCTAAATTCTTATCCCTGAATGCACACTGTGCAGACCGATCGGAAGCACAGAGTCACAGCTGGTAGTCAACACTTCCTCGAGTCAAGAATCCCTCAACACTTCTAAGGTTGTTAGACTAAGGGTCATGGAAAGCAAGCCCATGAGGTCTGGAGAAATCATTTTACTGCCTGTGCATTCCCTGGCTGCACAGTCACTGACTATGTCATGCCCGAGCACCAAGGGTCTCCTTTCCTGATGTTCCATATATCATCCACTTTGTAAGCTTACCTGAGAGTTCATAGCAACCATAATCTTCCTTGGGGCATCCCCTTGGTAACATAAAGTTTAGGAACAAAAGTTTGCCTTTGGACGCACAAACTTTTGTTCCTGATTCAGAGTAATTTCATACTACGACCCAAGGGTCCTAGGCTTCTCTTCTAGGAATGTGAACATTATTGCCACCAAACCGGCTTCTCAGAATCATGAGGGGGAAAGTAGCTAGGGAGGCAATAAAAGGACAGCTCAGAAAAGGGTCTTGAACTTGAGAAACAGAAGTGGCCTCACTCTGGTTGCACATCAGAGTTGACCCTGATGAGTAAGGAGTCTTACCATTTTCAAAGCAGATCTTGGATGTTAGTGAAAAGTGAATGATTCTGGGTACACCGTCTTGAGACCCATGGTTACGACCGACTAAAGCTACAAGTGGGGGAAATGGAGAGATATTAGGAGGAGGTGAGGAGAAGGAGAAGAAAAAGAACCCTGCCCTAGAACATCATCAATAGAAAACCAAATGATCACTAAATAACATTCCTACCCAGGCACTAACAAAGATTTCAATAAACACCAATAATAGCCTGGTGTGGTAAGACGAGCCTTATCCCCAGCCCTTGGGAATCTGAAGCAAGCAGATTTCTGTGAGTTCAAGGCCAGCCTGGTCTTCATAGTGAAGCCTTGTCTCAAAAATCCAATAAAGTAGCCGGGCGTTGCTGGCGCACGCCTTTAATCCCAGCACTTGGGAGGCAGAGGCAGGTGGATCTCTGTGAGTTCGAGGCCAGCCTGGTCTACAGAGTGAGTTCCAGGACAGCCTCCAAAGCCACAGAGAAACCAAAAAAAAGTCTCGAAAAACCAAAAAAAAAAAATCCAATAAAGTAAACTCCAATAGTAAACCATAAAATGTTTTCAACCATTTGCAACTTAAACAAATCAGTTTTTGAAACTGGAAATGCCTCTGCATTATTTCCTGATTCCTCAAGAAACCATGATTGGCTAGGGTCTTTACGGCTCTAAAGACTGCTATTACCTGTCGTGAAAATGAAACATCTAACCCATGTGAAATGCTTGGCACACCCTTACCCTCCTGACACTTAGGACTACCAAATTCCCTGTTGTCAAGGCAAAGTTGACTGCTGGGGCAGAGCTGGTGGGTATCTTGATGGTGGAGGGATTCTGGGAAGTTCCTGTGTGGTCAGGGTCTTCCGAGAATCAAATGCTAATACAGAACGAGATATATATTAGAAATTTATTAGGCAAAATGCTTGAAAAAACAAGAAGGGGGAATGTGGAGGAGGCTGGAAGATACCTCTCAGTCAATAGCATGAAGGTGACTCCCAGAGAAAAGAGGGAGGACAGAAAGTTGGTTGGAGCATCTATCTGATAGTGCAGCAGCAGCCCAAGAGCGAGCTGCACTGCGAGTCTTAGAGAGAGCTGGTCACAAGTGGCCATGTCCCCAGGAAGGAGCAATGAGGAATGTCTGGGCCTTCGGGGTCATCAAACAATTACGTTTCCTGCAGCAGAAGAATGGAAAGGGACATCTTCACAGCAACTCCCTTCTTTAAGGCAGTTCTTAACTGTCCTTGAGTTTCCTACAGTATGCCTTTCAGAGGAAAATGAATGTTAAATGAACAACAGATGTAAACGCTAACAAAAAAGGGGAGTAGATCTATTAATGGAAAAATATTGCCTATGAATTAAAAAAAAAAGAGCCAGGTTTGGTGGAGCACACCTTTAATCCCAACACTCGGGAGGCAGAGTCAGGCAGGTCTCTGTGAGTTGGAGGCCAGCCTGCTCTACATAGAGGGCTACACAGAGAACGGTAGTGGTATCAACTCAGGACCCCCAAGACCAAGTTCTCAGCACAAAGCAGATTTATTTGCCCCAGAGGGACAAAGGGCATAGGGGAATACGAGACAAAGACAGGAAATAGAGGGAGAAGGAGAAGGGGAAGGGAACAAAGGAGAGGGGAAGAGGATATTTGTCCTGGGGTGGGGGGATGATGACATCTGAATAGAGAGGAGACAAACATGGTGGTCCATACACAATGTCAGTTTATAAAGGTAAAGGGAAAACCTTTTAGGTTGTTAGGATAAAATGTTTAATGTTAACTGGGCATGTTAATCAGGTGAACCAAAGGGGGCTCTTGATTGCTAGTCTTCAATACTTTGATAGCTGGACCGTGATAGCCTCAGGAGGAGGAAGTGAATGAATAAGGGAATGGCCCCTGTTGGCTAGCTTTAGGAACATAATCTAATGGCTTTTATGAAGGCAGAGGGAATGAGGAGAAAGGCAAGGGCTGACAGCCACGCTCACCATGCTCAAGCTGGCCAGAGTCCCTTCAAACCCTGCCTCAGTAAATCAAACCAAAAATGAAAACCCCCAAACAAAAACGAAAAGGCAACCAACCAAACAACAAAAAACAGAACACAAACAAAAAAAAAAGTACCTGTTAAGTTCACTGGGCTTTGTGACACACACCTTTAGTTCCACACTCTGAGAAATAAAGGCAGGCAGATCTCTTGTGAGTCTGAAGCCTGAAGGACAGGAAGTTCCCAGGCCAGCTAGTACTACATAGTGAGATCCTGTCTCAAACAACACACACACACACACACACACACACACACTGACTGCCTCCTAGAACACCACTGTACAGAACTTTCTATTAGTGAAACTCACAGTTGGAAAGGCAGCCACTAGCCAACATGATGCCATTCCTGAGTACTTGAAATGTGACTCTTGAGACTGAAAAACTGAGATTTTGACATTACCTAATTTTTATGAATTCAAATTTAGATAGTCACACATGGCTAATATTTACTATGCTGGACAGTATGGTCCTAGAAATTGGGGATGGGAGAATGGGATTCCTTGCAAATTAAAAGGAAAAGCAATTTTTTGAGATAGGATCTCACAGTTGTATCTCAGGTTGGACTTGAACTCACAACAGTCATCCTGCCTCAGCCTCAGGATTGCTGAGATTACAGGTGCACACGCTGCCTGACTCCTCTGTAACTTCGATGGTAACATATTGTTCCTAAATTTTGTCTCACAAATGAATGTCTGATTCCTAATTCAAAACTACATAGATTGTATAAATGAATGTCTGATTCTTAATTCAAGACTGTATAGCTTGCCCGTAAGAGGATCCCAAGGGAGAAGCCTACCAGGTGCTTTAACACTGTGCTTCTTGTTTCTTTCTCCTGGAAATCATCAGTCACTAAAATGATTATCACAAACTAGATGGCACTAATACAATGCTTTGTCAATATCTCATCTATATACTGTCTTGTTCATAAACACAGCCAGTAACTTCAACTTACACGTTTTTCCTGAAGGTTTGTTCCGTACCGCCCTGGAAACTTTTCTAGCTTTAACCAGTTGGTTCTCCTCTGGAGGGTGTTCCTTTGCATCTGGGCTGATTTTGCATTCCTTCATGTCGATAACGGTCATGGTTCTGGGATCCCCTTCCAAGTTTCTGTCTGGTCCCAACATTTTCTTTGGGGATACATTTTTATCAGAGTCTTCAGTCAGATCTTGCCAGCTGTAAGCCATGAGATTGATGAGTCCCACTGGGAAATCCATGCCATCGTGAGCATACCTCTTCAATGTCTTCTCAAGTTCACAGAGTATTTCAGAAGCGATGAGTTTGTACTCTTCAAAGAGGGTGTTATGCAAGTACGATTTGGAGAATTTAGAGTCTGGAGGGCACTTGGAAGTACGAGGAGGTTCTGAGTTGATGAGTGTGTAGGACTTGTCTTCTCCCGCATGTAAAGTTATCATGTTCTCTTGGGTACTCTCTGGTTCTGTTGATTGTTCAGTTTTGTGACTGTAAAGAACGTGTACAAGTATTAAAGAGCTCCTACATGTCTTAACCTGTTCGTCTGAAGTCTAGACATCATCTTAGAATGTACACCACCTAGGCTGGAGAGATGACTCAGAGGTTAAGAGCAATGGCTGCTGACTTTTCTTCCAGAGAGAGGTCCTGAGTTCAATTCCTAGCACCTGTATGGTAGCTCACAACCATCTATAATGAGATCTAGTGCTCTCTTCTGGCCTGCAGGCAAACATGCAGACAGAACACTAGATATAATAATTTAAAAAAACCTTTAAAGAAAAAAAAGATCAAGAGACTATGAGCAAGAGCCAGAATAAATAATAATTAATAAAAATGAAACTACAGGGAGATGTGGGCCCTAAAACAATTATTTGATCAAAGACATTTTAAAAATGAGTATTTTTGTAAAGAACTAGAAACTGCACTCACGGACGTATTTGAAAATGAACCAAACAGAAACCATAACGATGAAAAATAAAATAACTGATCATTAATATCTAAAATTAATAACTTTATGGGTAGACTTGACAGCTATTCCATATACTTAAAGAGAAAATTAATTAAGTAAAAGATATATTAGAAGACAATTCCCACAATGAAAAGTAGAAAGCAAATTTGACCAAAAATGAGATTATAACATATCTATTACTGCCATCAAAATTTAGTTAATGTAAAAATATACCAGGGTTACACTGGGCAGTGGTGGCACACACCTTTAATCCCAGCACTCGGGAGGCAGAGGCAGGTAGATCTCTGTGAGTTCAAGGCCAGCCTGGTCTACCAAGCGAGTTCCAGGACAGCCTCCAAAGCTACAGAGAAACTCTGTCTAGAAAAACATACAGGGTTAGATGGAAGAAGATCTGTTTAGTGAATTAAAATTCCTTTCTTCCTTGCCTTAGTCCATAAATATAGATATGCACATATATGCCTCCAAATATCCACACGATGCATTTATATGTAAGTACAAGAATATAATAAAAAACTTATGAGATATACTGAATTTAATTACAAATTTAATTATACTTAATTTATTTAAAATATGTGTGTGCCTTTTTCCTTTCTTTTACAAAAATATTAATTTTAAATTTTTTCAAAGGACAAACAATGGAAAATTAAACAGCTAAGGTCAAGTCTGTAGACTGAACCAACAGAAGAATGCTTCCCATTCCTGGAAGCAACTTGACTCACATCCCATCATAACTGTCCACAGAGCCACTCTGTCTGTTTGCACATACACTTTCTGGACTGTCAGCCCAGTTTCTCCTCCTTTGGATGCCCTCCTGTCCCAGAGAATTTCCTCCTGTGATATTGCCCCATCGCTGATCTCTGCTGTGTGTTCAGTATTCACAACGTATGGCTGCCTTCATCTGCTTTTCTTTTTCATTCTATTACAGACTCGATTTATTTGGTGGATCCTTCTTAACAAAGCACTTAAAATCATGTCTTTAATTCCAGCACTCGGGAGGTGGAGGCAAGCAGATGTACATGAGTTCAAGGCCAGCCTGGTCTATGAAGCAGGTTCCAGGACAGTCAGCGCTGTCTCAAAACAACAACAACAATAAATACTAATACTAAATAAACCTTTGCTTTGTAAAGCTAGTGGTTCTGGACTGATCAATGCAGACCAGTTGGAAGGGTTGAGGGTGTGACCTTTAGAATAAACACTCACCTGAGATGTTCAAGGTTCTGGACAAGCTCTTCAACACTGGAAGAACACAGGTAAGAGTGATTTTGTTTCTGTTTTACAAATAAAGAAATTACAGGTCTGACGGGTTGAAAGGTTACATGTCTAGTTCCCTTATCTCACTCATCTTTCTGAGCCTGCCACATTCCATGGTTGTCTATCACAACTCTTTATTAAGCCTATTCTTTATCCCAAGTACAATTTGAGTGACTGGGGATAGAAAAGCAATCAAACACACAAAAACAAAAACAAAACAAAACAAAAAGCCATCCTTAAAGACCTTATACTCTCTTGAGAGGAAAGAAGATAACCAGCCATGGTGTGTGGTGGTGCATGTCTCTAATCCTAGAACTTGGAGGGCAGAGGCAGGCAGATCTCAGTGGATTTGAGGCTAGCCTGGTTTAAAGAATGTCATTTACAGCGCCAGAACGCAACAGAAAAATTAAGGTAGGAAGTGAGATACCGAGTGCTAAGGTAGGAAGAGAATAGCAGTCTAAATAGTAAAGTTGGTATTTAAGTAGAGTCTAAGGGGACAGGGAGGGAGTAAGCCATGCAGAAAGCAGAGGTGATGTCTAGGGCAGACACCCTAAGGCAGGAATTGAATAAATCACGAAGAGACCAGTGACTGGCAAATGTGACAAATATGCTCAAGTCAACCATTGAGTATAGTCATGGTGGGGTCTGTAGTGCTGACTCCTTGGTGTAGTTTCTGGGGGAGTGAGGAAGGGGAAACCTGGTGTTCAGCATTGCATAATAAGCCTTTGCACATGTAAAAGAACAGAAGTTGAAGAGGGATTCCAAATGTTTTACTCATCCTTCGCCTTTGGGTCCAAGAATTGGTCTTCCAGTGTTTCCCTTTTCCATTTTCTTACTTTAGGTTTTAACTGAAACAAGAGAAGTTTGGGATTACAATGTGGAGGCAAATGCTAGCCAAAGGTGAATTTGTTTTTAAAAAGTGAGTTACAAGGGCTGGAGACATCACTGAGTTGGCAAGGTGCTTGCCAGGCAAGCGTGAGAGCTGAGTTCAAGTCTCAGAAGCCATGCATATATGGTGTCATGCTCCCATAATCCCAGTGTTAGGGAGGTTGAGACAGGAGGATCCTTGGGGCTCAGCATCCAGCCAGCCTAGCCTATTTAATGAGCTCCAGGTCAGTGAGAAACCCCATCTCAATAAACAAGATGGGGCTAGAGAGATGGCTGGGTGGTCAAGAGCTGCTCTTCTAAAGGACCTGGGTTTGGTTCCTAGCACCCAGGTTTACAACTGTCTGTAACTCCAGCCTCTGGGAGTATCAGGCACACGTGTGGTCCACAGACACACATGCAGACAAGACAACCTTACATATAAATTAAATAAAAATTTAAGAGGTGGACAGTTTCTGAGGATTGGCATTTCTGGTTACCACACACATGTGCACACACATACATTCGGAGCAGCATATGTGCAATATTTGCACTCACGTGTGCATGTACACATGCATGCATGCACAGGCAAATTATACTTTGCTGGAGCTGGAGAGATGTCTCATCAATTAAGATCAGCTCACAAGTGTCTGTATCTCCAGTTCCAGGGGATTCAACACCCTCACACAGACACACATGCAGGCAAAACGCCAACGCACAGAAAATTTTTAAAAAATGAATACTTTTTTTCAAAATTATATTCTGTTGAAATGAGCAACAGTATTACCTGATCAAAGAAATATATGGGTCCAGAGCAAAAAGATGTGGTGTCAATAAATCCCTCCATTCTGCCATGAGACCTAAGAAGGGAAAATTTGAAATCTGAAAATGAATTACCACAGCTGTAGGAGATAATTCAAAGCGCCCAATGGTTTTAAAGTTCAGATGTTTCATTTTCACTGAAGTATGCACAGTTCTGAGATGGACACCATTGCTCTTTTATCTTCACCTTCATTTCACGGAGGGGTCCCAGACGTGACACTGATGTGACAGATAAGTGCTGCAGGGAAACTAAGCAATACTTGAATGTCATTGCAGACATGCTCAGTTTCGACACTGCTGAAACCTTGGACCAAGTAATTCTTTGTACTAAGGAGTTGTCTTGTGCACTATAGGAGGCCAGGTGGTGGCTCATACCTTTGATTTCAGCACCTGGGAGGCAGAGGCAGGCAGATCTCTGAGAGTTCAAGACCAGTCTGCTCTATGTAATGAGTTTCAGGCCAGCCAGAGCTACAGAGTAATAGATTAGTAGTAGTAGCAGCAGCAGCAGCAATTAATAACAATAACAATAATAATGTCTCACAAATGCAAGCCTGACCTCCACCTACCAACCTACCAGGTATGAATACACACACTGTTGTTCTAATGTTACAGAACAAAGAGTCCCCTAACCTTGACACCAACAAGTATGTGACATGTATACGTACATGCATGCAAGCACTTACAGATACAAAAATTTAAAAAACAGAAAGAAAATTTTAGGGCAGGGTATAATAGCCCATGGTTTAATCCCATCACTCAAGAAACAGACGCAAGTAGATCTCTATGAGTTTGAGGCCATCTTGATCTGTATATAAAGTTCTGGGCCAGTCAGGGATACATAATGAGACCCTGTATCAGAGAGAGAGAGAGACAGAGAGATAGAGAGAGAGAGAGAGAGAGAGAGAGAGACGGAGAGACAGAGGGAGATGAAAATAAAAGAAAAAAGAAATCTGTGCTAGCTCGTAACCAGAACACAAACATAAGAGGCAAATGTTAATTCATGCATCAGGAGGGACTTAGATATCCCAAGCAGTCAATTGTGGTTGGATGCTGCAACCAAGGATAATTTTTAAAGGCATCCGAAAGCAATTTGTGATTGTTCATGTCAGTCATCCTAGCACTCAGGAGGGCAATGCAGGAGGGCTCTTGCGAATTCAAAGGTAGCCAGGGCTACATAGCAAGCACTATGCCACCAGAGTGTTATCTCAAGACCCTGTCTCAAAAACCCAAAAATGAATGAATGAAGAGCAACAAGAGCAAAGAAAGATCAGAGTAGAAACACAAACTTTCTGGTGCTGAGACACTGAATGGAAGGTAGCAATATGACTCAGCAGCTTGTCACCAGGCCTGATGACCGAGTTCCATCCCTGGGACCCACACGGTAGAAGAAGAGAGCTGATCTCTGAAGGTGGTCTCCGGATCTCCACATGCGCTGTGTGGTGTGCGCGCGCGCACATACGCACGCGCACACACAAACACACACACACACACACACACACACACACACACACACTCCTAAGTACATGTAATAAAATGTTTTAATGAAAATCATAAGTGAATTATATTTTTCAAGGAACTTAGCCATTTCTGTCTTCCAGCTGTGCCAGCCTAGAGATAACAACAGCTGGTGACGATCAAATCATCAACAATATCTGTGCACCTTAAAAATGCCCATGTGGCCGGGCGTTGGTGGCACACGTCTTTAATCCCAGCACTCAGGAGGCAGAGGCAGGCGGATCTCTGTGAGTTCGAGGCCAGGCTGGTCTACAGAGCGAATTCCAGGACAGCCTCCAAAGCCACAGAGAAACTCTGTCTCGAAAAACCAAAAAACAAACAAAAAATGTCCAGGTGGGAGCTAGAGAGATGGTCAGGAGTGCACACTGCTCCTGCAGCGAACTAGTAAGCCTTTTTTAAAAAGTCCGCACGGGAACACGGCTCAGTGACACAGCACTTGTTTGACACTCACAAGGAAGGTTGGGTTCAATTCTTAATATCTCTCTCACACACAAACACATCTGAGAGGGAGAGAGAGAGAGAGAGAGAGAGAGAGAGAGAGAGAGAGAGAGAGAGAGAGAGAGAGAGAGAGAGAGGAGACCTACCTTCTGCCTCATCCACTTCAAGTTTTGAGAGATCCACTCATTCTGATAAGGAACATCTATGCACCAGAGTTCCATTTAGAACTCTCAGCCCATGATTCCACCCATGACCTTTATCTTGGACTCCCTTAGTCACTCAGATGTAAGGTTGGAGACGCTAACAAGCTCCCGGAACCTTGTTAAAATAATAACAGTGAAAAACTGAAAAGCAGCCGTCTACAACCCACAGAATTGGAGCAGGGCTTCAGGGAATGTGAGCTTTTCTATCTATTATAAGGCTTTTTCTATCTGGAAAAGTCAGACAAGCATGCAGTGTGGGTGGGGGGCGGGGAGATCCTGACATAGAATGGGTGGGGCATAATCCAGCATTGGGCAGAACACAGGACCTCCAGACACTAAGTCTGCCAGAGAGTAGGGTCTAGGGTCTAAAACAGGAGGATTAACTGAAAGTCTGTATGAAGAACCTCATAACTAAGATGTCTGATCTAAGTGTTTCACCATCTGCTGGGGGCAGGGTGGGGTGAGGTAAGCAAAACGCAGGGCTTTCTCAAAGAAAAAGAATAAATTCTTTTAAAAAAAGCACCTGAGCACCGAGCCCCAACCTCCCTGATGCTGTGGCCAATTAATACAGTGGTTCCCAACCTTCCTGATGCTGTGGCCATTTAATTCAGTGGCTCCCAACCTTTCTTTGAATGTTTTAATACATTTTTCTCATGTTGTGGTGACCCCAATCATAAAATTGTTTTCATTGCTACTTCATAACTGTAATTTGTCAGTGTTACGGATTTCAATATAAACATTTTTTGTTTTCTGATGGCCTTAGGTGACCCACAGGTTGAGAAGTGCTGTGCTAGCGTGTGTAACAATCGAAAGACATCGCCTTGTGTATCTAACAAGGCAGATGCACTGTATTATGTATTTGAAGGTAGACTCCAGGATTCCTCAAGCTGGTGGCTGATATGGTCAGTCCTCATGGGCTAAGCATCATAGCATCTTTCTGTTCTGTGTTCTACGTATTTTATCCCATACTAAGAAATTTAAAAACAGAGCCAAACCTGATAGTACATGCCTGTAATCCCAGGACTCAACATGCAGGCCGGCTAAACTAACCTGGGCTGGAAAGAAAGATCCTGTTTCAAAACAAGTGAAAAAGACCGTGTGTGTGTGTGTGTGTGTGTGTGTGTGTGTGTGTGTGTGTGTGTGTGTGAGACTATACTTTGCTTATTATTTTTTTAAGGTTTAGGAAAAGTTTCCAGAAGTTTCAATAATTTTCTTTCATTTCTCATTGAACAAAATTGCCACATATGCTGCAGCCTAACTAAATCACAGGCAAGAGGGATTGCAATAGTTGTGTGTTAGCTCAATCAGGGTTTACCTCTGCATTTAGGATAGATATGCCAAGCATGGTAGGGCACACCTGTAATCCCAGGACTCAGAAAGGTGAATCTAGGAGGGTTAGGGTTAGATATGAAAAACTAAAAATGAATTGTGTGTATGTTCATCTTTCTTATCCATTTACACTGGAGCAGAACCTGCAGGTTGCCAGAGCTGTGTCCACAAACAGTTCACAGCCAGTGTTGCAACTGTGCCATTTGAAAACAGGAAATGGCTGGAACAGGTCCTCTTCTGGCCTCTCAGAGGAGCAGCACCCACATAGTGCACATACATACTGAAGCCAAAAAACAAACCCATACACATTTAATTAAAAACAAAACAAAGCAAAAGCCTGCAACATGGAAATGAAAGATCCGCCTAAGGACTTCAACTTTCAGCCATGGTGTAGAAACTGATTGTGGACAAACGTACACAGCCACAAACTGCACAAAAGAAAGAGAATGACTTTTTTTTTTTTACATTGGCCCAGAGGAAACAGCATTATGATTTTTAGCAGAAAAGAAACAAAGGAAATAAGATGCTTGCACCCCATGGCTGTTTATCTAGGAGGCATTTTGCAGGATAGGCCAGATCCAGTGAGGTGGTCTCACTGATGCCGCAGCTGCCAGGGAGAGGGAAACCGGCTAGAAAGTATTGGGAACAGGATTTTATGCAGCTCTTTCTTCCATGAACTCTTAAGCAATTCCTTAAACTCCTATTAATGATATTCCTGCCCTCTTAGCCACTGGAATATTGTTGGGAATTATGAATGCTTTTTTTCAAAGTCTAGTTTTAATACCCGGAGACTAATTTGCTTCCTGCTGCTGTGATTAAAACGCCATAACCAAACGCAACTTGGGAAGGAAAGGGTTTATTAATGGCTTACACATCCAGATTGGAGTCAAAGGGGGAACCCAGACACAGACACTGAAGCAGAAGCCAGGGAAGAACATGGCTTAGTGGCTTGCTCTTCATGCCTTACTCGGCTTGCATTCGTCCCCTCCCCTCCCCTCCCCTCCCCTCCCTCCCCTCCCCTCCCCTCCCCTCCCTCCCCTCCCCTCCCCTCCCCTCCTCTCCTCCACTACTAACTTGATGCAAGCAAGGGACATCTCTTCACGTGCGTTACTCATTTTCTACAGCATCTTCTTGTCTGACCAGTCTTTCCAACTCTCCTTGACAGACCCCCCACGCCCCACCCCCACACAAACAAAACTTGAAAACACCAGTGTCCTCCTGGTTCTTGTTTGCATTTTGGTCGCTGAACTCTTCTGCCGCACTTACACAAAATGTCGCTAATATCCCTATCTCTAGATCCACATTTCTCACTAACTACTGGGTGTCTTTGTCTGCTTGCCCTGCTAGCGTCTCGGACTTAGGATATGGGTAACTTATCTTCCATGACGCCTGGTCCAAAGCCTTCTCGGCATGCTTCGCTCCTTACCTCAGTGAGAGTTACCGCTCTACACCCAGGAACCCTGCCCAGAAACCTAGGGTCATTCTCCTCCCCATTCTAAAGGTAAAGAACTGTTACGTTCTCTTAACTGTACTTCAGAAATATTTCTGTCTTCCAGTGTCTTATCTCTGGTCCCCAGTTATAGCCTTTACTTAAAATTTCACCAATATTGTTATCAGCACTCTGGAGGCAGAAGCAGGAAGATTTCTGTGGGTTCGAGGCCAGCCTGGACTACAGCCAGTTCCAGGACAGCCCCCAAAGCCACAGAGAAACGCTGTCTTGAAAAATTAAAAAAAAAAAAAAAAAAAGATCATCTGGGTACTTAAGGGCTATTTAGTCAGTGAACATTTATCAACCTCCTATGATGTTTCAGGTCCCAGACAGTTACTAGAAACAGAAAAAAAAATTACAGTTGGAAAGAGAGATGAATCATAAATCTGAAAAATAAATTAGGAGCAGTGATGAGAGCCCTGAAGAAAGGGCAAAAAAGTCAGTCAAAAGATGCAGCTAAGAGGTGAAGTGTTTGCCTAGCATGTAAGACCCTGGCTTAATCTCCAACACTGCAAAAATGGGGTTCAGTTGTAACTGGGCTTCTGAATTAAGGCGCTGTGGCTATCTGGGGAAGTGACATTTCAGCTGACCCCTGAAAGAGGCTCATAGTTCCTGTTTATCTCTCAACCCTCTTTAATCCGTGCTCCACCCCAAATACTGGGGCAGAGCCTCGTATATGCAAGGCAAGTACTCCAGCACTATACTATAGCCCCCAAGCCCCATTTTTCTACCCAAATAGTCTTGCTAAGTGACTGACAGCTTCTACACTAGATGCATCTGACCCTTGTCAGTCCTGGGACTTGACCTCAGCAGACTCAGTCATGCCCTCCAGTGACTCTGTGTCGCCTCCCAACTGCTTCTCTGCTTCTTTAGTGTCCCTTAATACAGTTCATATGTCCTACCTCTCCATCAAATGTCCCCCAAGGCTTAGATCTAAAACTTTTGTTCTGCCTCTACACTTACACCATTCACCACAGAATACTGTAAGATCATTCATGCAATTTTTAGATTTCTTTTGATCAGCACTTAAAAGTAAAAAAGAACAGGCAACAATCATATAGTTTCTTTTATTGAACTCAGTGCTTTAAAAATTATTTCAATAGGCAATCTGTGAAAATATTGAGCATGCTTATGTACTTATTTATTTATTTATTTGGGAGAAGCTTTCACTATATAGCTCTGACTGGCCTTAAAATTATAGAGATCCATCTGCCTCTGTCTCTTGAGTTTGGGATTAAAGGCATGCACCACCATACCTGACATGTGCTTTTTTATATTGAGCCTTTGTAATTTTGTGTAGATTTGACTTATGACCCATCTCTAATTGGTCTAGCAGCATTTAAAGTACATAGTAACCTCCCATGTGGTTAGTAATTACCATACTGAACACTATTTATATAGATTCCTTGGTCTAGAGTCACTTGTTATGTGATCTTTTCTTTGCCAAAGATCTGATTCTCCTCTATTAGCTGGTAACTAAATTTTTTAAAATTTATTTTTAGCTGGGTGGTGGTGGCACATGCCTTTAGTCCCAGCACTTGGGAGGTAGAGGCAGGCAGATCTCTATGAGTTCGAGGCCAGCCTGGTCTACAAAGCAAGTTCCAGGACAGTCTCCAAAGCTCTTGAAAAAACAAACAAACAAAAAACAAAACAAAAGAAAGTTCCAGGGTAACCAGGGCTAGGAGAGACCCCATATAAAAAAAACAAACAAAAACTAAAAACAAACAAAAAAAACATAACAAAAAAACCCCAAACAAATAAAATGAAGAGGCTAGAAAAGTAGGTAAGATTTGGGTCATGGTGGGAAATCATAAAGATTTTGCATAAGTGATGCCTACTTCTTTTTTATTTTCTTGGTGTGCTTGGTCTATTTATTTTTAATATTGCTAGTTATTAACTAAAGAATGTTAAGGGAAGCTTTTTCTTTGCTAGCCGCTTTGGTTTATCCCCCCGCCAGCCGCCTGGGCTCTGCCGCATTGTAGTCCCCAAATAAACACACAAGACGCTGTATTAATTATGAAGCTGTTGGCCTTGCTTGTTTCTTACTGGCTAGCTCTGACTTAAGTGATTACCCCATAATTGTTAATCTAAGTATGTCTCTTACCGGAGAGGTTTCCGGGCTTCCTACCCCAATGGCGTTACATCTCAAACTCTCTTGTGTTTCTCCTTCCCAGAATCCTCTTGGACTCCTAGCCCCACCTATCTAGATTCCTATTGGCCAGCAGTAATTTATTGACATATACACAGGACTTCCCCAACAGAAGAAAGAACTTCAAAGTCTAGAGATGCATTTGAGGGAAA